GGTCCGAGAAAATCAAACTAAGATCAACAAAGCGACTCACACAAGAAAAGCAACACAGTTCGGGGTCGTTTCGGCAGAGTTATGTGGACTAAAGGGGTCAGTCGAGAAAACTATTTGTTTTGAACAATGTATCGCCTTCAATTTTCATTGCGATTAATCCACCGTACAACTGGCTTGTTGAGAAGAACGGGCATTTGCTGAAAGGTTTCGCGCCTTCATTTCGACGTTTAACAAGCAACACATCATAAACCACAGACTGGCAACATTGTATGAGTTTCAGCGCTCTCTGTCGGCTTCTGGTCGCAACCCCTCTTGGGTCACATTGCCACAATCGATTCGATATATCGCAGGGGAGTCTTGTGGAGGTAATGCCGTTGGAGGTAATGCAGTATTGCCGATTAGCCCCACATACACGGTGAAAGTGGACCTTAATATTGGCTTAATGTGGCAGTCACCGATGCGTTGTAGAGCGGTGAACCTTAATATTCGCCGGGCCGACGATTATTAAGGCTCACCGATGGTATTCTGAATCAACGATCACCATCCTCTGGAGGATTGCTCTGTGTTCGGTTTTCTCCCGGTCGTGTTGTGTGGTTAGTGACTTCGGAGTTCGGAGTTTTTGTATTCGTGTTCACATGCGTTTCGCAATTTTCAGTCATTAAAATGTCTTTCATCGATAGTAACAAGAACGTGAAGAGAACGGTCCTACTTAAAATTATGCCCAAGCCGGGTAAATCATGCAGGGAGTTGCTAGCAGGACTAGCAGGTAGAGCTGGTGTGCACGATGACAAATCCACGAGGGTAGTGGTTCAGCCCAAAAAAGTTATTCCTGATAACCTATGAATAATAATTCACCTACCCAAAATAATCATAATATGTTCGACAATATGGAGGGGCTTATTTCCTCAACTCCCTCATGGTTGGAAATAACAAAACACACTCAACACATAACCTTCAATGTTCACGTGCACTTCCAGAATTTTAAAAAACCAAACAAGTTAAGTCACTGTTGTCAGGGTTGTACAAATATGTTCACTAACCCATTTGAACTCTTATGAAAAATTTGTATTGGGCCTCTGGCTCGGCAACAATGCTAGGCCCTGCCGATTTAATCGTGTAACTGCTGTTTAAAGTGACTTTAAAGGTCACCGCTCAAGTAGAGTCCCTTTATACCCAGAGTTAAGACAACTCACTTTTGGTTCGGCTGAAAGTGGCCTAAAAAAAAATCCAATTCTGATTGGTTCTCGCTCATGGAGGCCGAAACGAGTGCACCAAGATGGCGGTACCTCGAATGTGAACAAGAATAATGAAAATATCACCTAATTGTGGTTTATCAAGAGTAAATTGTCACTTCCATCGGTCCAAAATGAAAAGAGATTAAGAAATTATTCACAAACCAATCTCATTTTCTTTATAATTGATCAATTTGTTGATGTTGTTGTTTTTGTGTGACAGACATCGCAGGATTCCTGATCCTTATCCCTCAATATCGTTCGTTAGGGTGCACTCGTTTCGGCCTCCATGGCCAGCCAAGGCCGGCTGCCAGTCAGCTGATAATCGAGTTGTCTTAACTCTGGGTATAAAGGGACTCTACGCTCAAGAACGCATCGGTGACTTCCACATTAAGCCAATATTAATAAGGTCCACTTTCACCGTGTATGTGGGGCTTTAGCTCCGAAGGTAGGACCATAGAGTACAATAGAGTCGCAAAGTACTGGATCGCCGTTGAAGTCACTTTTCGAGGCTGTTTTGTCCAGTT